AGTATCAGAGTGTTCCATCTCATTTCCCTTTGGGGTTGCTGTAGGTGATCTGGAAGTCTGGTTTTGAGACTTATTTACGTGTTTTCTCATTTCGTCTGGGGTGGGGTGCTGTCAGTGCCTGCACAGATTACCTCCTCTGAGCTGGGTGAGGTGGGACAGGGGCCAGGAGCAGTGGTAGGGATGGTGACCCAAAAGTCCTTTCCTGTGGGCTGGGAGCAGCGGGAGGGATGGTGGCCGGGAAGCCCCTTCCTCTGGACCAGGAGCAGTGGGATGGTGGCTCAGAGGCCCCTCCCTCTGGGCCAGGAGCGGCGGGACTCACTACCTTGGTCTGGTGTTCTGGTGTCCTTTGTGTCTTTGTAGTGTGGAACCAGGTGGGTGCCTGTCTGCAGCGGGGTGATTCGGCGTCTCCAGCGCGACTCAGTTCCTTATTCATTTCTTTTCCCTAATCTTTTCTCCCCTCTTTGTTTTCAAGCTCACTGAATTTTCCTCTCATTTCCATTCTACCAAGCCCATCATCTAGTGAATATTTTATTTCGGGTGCTGTAGTTTTCAATTTTACATTTTCATATAGTTTCTATTTTCCATAATTTCTTATCTTTTAATTCATTATGACCTTACTGGCAAGTGTTTTATTGTCTTCATTGGGCATAGTTAAATTAGTAGCTTTGAAATCCTTGTCTGGTAAATCCAACCTCTGGGTTTTCTTGGGATTGGTCTCCATGATTATATATTTTTCCTGAGCAATGGTCGCATTTTTCTGTACATATGTAATTTTGGATTGGTTCTGGACATTGTGAATGTTGTATTGTGGAGACTCAATTATTAAAAAAAATTTCCTCTGAAGAGCATTGTTTATCAGGAAAATATGTGATTAGACTCTAAGTGTAAATCCCATGTCTTGGGTGGCTGCTCAAATCTTGGTTCAGTTCTCTACTCTTAGTGTGGTTGTCTAAAGTCTACCATATGCATGAAGTTGAATGGACATTTGAGCACAGTTTTATACAGAATATTGGCTTCCTACCTTTGTTCTCTTCTTCCCAGGTTTCTTTCTTCTTTGCTTGCACACGTAGTTGCCTCACACTTGATCCTTTGTTTCTTTACTCAAAAAGAGAACAGAAAATACTTTCATTTTGGCTGCTTGGCCTGGTGCAGACTAAAGCCTTCAGGCTAGAAGCTTTGAATCTTAAGCAGTTAATAGAAACTTAACCAGTGAAGGCTTACCTGGTGCCAATTTCTTTTCCACTGCATGGTCACCCTCCAAAAATCTGCCTATTTTGATCACTCTTTAGTGCTTTCAGGTAGTTAAAAAAATTTTTTTTCCCAGAGTGGTGACAGATATTAGCCTCTGCCTTAGCAGCATCTGAGGAGCCAGAAGTAGAGGAGGAGAGAGTTCTGTGTAGCTTGAATCCTGGAGTGCATGTACTAGAATCTCACCCATTTCCATGAAGATCAGGAGGACCTAGTGTGTCCCATCAGGGCTTGGAATCAAGCCCTGTGTTCGGCCAAGGGATTTATCTCAGTGGTCTGAGATATGTTCCCCATCTTTCCTGGAATGGACATATTTTAAAAAACATTCCTCTGAAGGGCATTGTTTATCAGGCAAATACCAATTTTAAAAAAAGTGTTGCCTGGCCCCTTTGTCATGGTGAAAATCTCCATTTCCCCCTTGTAGGCCCATGACCCTAGTTAACTGTTTGGCTACTTCCTCTTTTCTGTAGTCAAATTCTTGTCAAACACCTTTCTTTAGCTTTGCCAAATGACTTGAAGTCAAGTTGTTATGACTTCCCCAGCAGGGCCACTTTAACCTTTACTTAACTCCGAGTTTAACTTTAGGCCTTCCATATTATATGACTTTTATAGCTACTTACCTAAAAGAAACTTAGATCTTTGACCAACTTTTTTTCTTGGTTCATAGTCATAGTGGGCACAAGAGCTAGGAAATATACCACAGGAAGAGAGGGGAGATCCGGTGTTCTTTAAAAAAAAAAAAGCTAGTCAATTTGAGCAATTTCTGGGAAGAATAAAATACTTTCCTTTCTCATGAACTCAAAGACTGTAAGATTATGTGTGACTCGGGACATACAGTTATATTGTGGTTAATGATAGGTTTCAGTGAACGTTCTCAACATAAAAACATAATGAGGAAACACATAAATTCTGCTTAAATTCAGTCTTAAGCTCCAGTAACTATTTTTGGGTAAGGACTAAATGAATCAAACTTTCAAACTTTCCTCTTTTCAGAAGGAAATACACCCTCCCATAGTTGTTTGCCTCAGTTATAACTGGCCAGTAAATTTAACCATAGATATACACTTGCACAGGAACTTGAATTTTGTACTGAAAAGAGTCAGTAACAATTCTTTACCCACACATGGCGGGCAGGGATTTCACTGCATCTGCTGCTGTCTTTGAGAAACCAACTTTAGGTGGTCCATTAACTGGTGAACTCGTGAGCCTTCGTTCACTTTTGGCTAGAGGAAGTGGCAGGAGTGGTGCATTACGTGTGCTTCCTGTGTCAGAGAGCCAGAAGCCTGTGAGGGAAGATTCCCACTGAATCCCTGGGGGGAAGTAGGGTCCTTGGTGGCAGGAACAGCCACAGAGGGTGCTGTGGCCTGAGGTGGAGGCCCTGTGTGTGGCAGGCCTGTGTTTGGAGAGAGGTTCTGGGTGCTCTGGGCTCAGTAGGAGGGTTCCCCGTGGTGGCCCAGATACCCAGTTTTTCTCACCACTTGCCTTCGGTATCTCCTGAGAGTTCTTGGTGGTGAAGAAGGCCAGTGGCTTTGGGTAGCCACCATCAAACATGGCTTCATAGAGCCTCCGAGGTGTGTGGTTTCAGAAACCTCACTTGAAACGTTACTCCAGTCCCCTGGAGCAGGTCATGTGGGAGCATTTCCTTCAGAACATCGGCTTTCACATGGAAAGCTAACTTTCCATGGAACTGGTTTTCAGACAGGGAGTTCTGGGCATTTCCATTTATCTTTGCAGTCTATGGCCTTACACTCTCCATTCCCTGCCACAGTCAGTTGAGTACTGAACAAGGGTGAGGTACATGTCCACCAAGAAGGGCATGAGGTGGCGCTGACCCTTCTGGTCAGCTTCTGGTTTAACCACCTTCCTCTGTAAGTCCCCCACACCGCCAGCTTCCAGACAGCTCAGGGTCATTCAGCTCTCTCTTGCTGATTGGTAGTGGTGGGGTCCCTGGGAAGGCAGCCCAGGCTGAAGGCCCTGTTCCTGTCACGAAGATATATTTTAAGATCTACCCGGAGGGTATTATGGGAATTCAAATGAAGCATCTCCCACTTCCCCCTCAGAGCCCTGGAGAGACTGGTTCTCCTGCTTCCTAACTCCCTCTTCCCATTCCACCAAGCATTTTCAGGATCCAGTTTGGGTTTATTGACAGCCCTGTGTATAATTCATGCAAGACAGGTTACAGCAAAGCATGTTACCTTTGCTAGTCAAGCATGGCTCAGTTATGCTGCTCCAGATTTCGGCTGGGAAGTAAGTTTTATTGGTGTTCGGGCCTAATGTTTTCCTGTCCGGAAACCTTCCCTGTCCCTTGGGGAGGCTGCTTTGGCAAACACCATCGGGGAAGCCCTTCTTCTCCTTGTCCAGTGGATGAATGGGTTCCAGGCGAAAACAGACTGTCAAGTGAAGCAGAAGCTCTGGGGGAGGGGTGGAGCCCTGGGGAGTGGGAAGCCGAGACTGTGCTGCTGGGCAGCACAAGCCGAGCTGATCAGACATGGCCAAGATGGCTCCGTGTGGTAAGGATGCATCTGGGCCCTTTTATAGCTGTACAGTGACTTGAGCAGGGACTGCTTTCCACTTAGTAGAAATCATCCTGCTTTTGTAATCCTACTATTTTCCTTCTGTCTAATTAGTGCACATTGACTACACGGAGTAGGGTCTCATTGTGCATCTTCATACATCCATGTAACATACTTTGATTGTGTCCACCTGCTATGTCCTCCCTTTTGGCCCTACTCTTTTAATACTCCCTGTAGTAAGGGGGCACTGATGGCAGGCAACAATGAAATTAGACTGAGGGTCTCCAGTTATTTTACTTTTTTTCTCTCCTAGGTTTTCTGTAAGGTCAAGTAGAAGAAGGAGCTAAATATTAGCAGGATAAACAAAATTGGGAGTACAGAGAAAAAGATAGGAGTACCCGAAAGCCTCTGAGTGAAGGGGTGGGTGGGAGGCAGGTGAAGAGAGCAGATGTGGAGGCCTTCTGAGCAGGTCTCTGTGCTTAGGTGCGGCCTGGGTCAGTCGGGCAAGGTGTGAAGGAGACAAGGGGTCAGCCTAGGCACTGGGAAGTTGGTTTTCATTTGGAAGATTTTTTAAACTGGAGAGAAAAGTGATCTGATTTTTCATTTAGGGAGTTTATTCTGGTCACACCGTGGGCGCTGAGGTAGAAGTGACAGGAATGAAGGAAGAAGCAGGGTGGGAGGCTGTCATGTGATCCGGGTAAGAAATGGTCAAGATCTGAACACAGAGGAGAAGAAAAGCCAGTGAGGTGGACGGGGCTGCATCTGGTAAATGGTGGACTCTGGGCAGCAAGGGAAGGGTCGGACAACATCCAGGTGTCTGGCTTCCTCCGAAGTAGGCAACAGTGGAGAAGAGCAGTTGGGGGAGAGAGTAAAAATGACCTCTCAGCAAATGTTTGCAGAGTGGGTTCAGTGGACAACACAGGCCTTGTCCCAAACCAAGGGTCCCAATGACATGTTCTTATTTTTCTTCCAGGAGAGATTTTCAGCCTCACAAAGTGGTGCCAGTGAAAGTCCACCAGCCCGACCAGTTCGTCCCAAGTGAAGAGAACATGGATTTGCTCACGACACACAAACAAGACTATAGCCCCTATCCTGTTTGCCGAGTGGGCCCCATCAGACCTCGGGACAGTAAATTCCCATGCGGTGACAAGATGGAGTGTCTGCCCACTTATAGAGGTGGGAGAGTGGGGGGCGTCTGGGAAGGGTTTGAGTGACCCTCCTTCACGGGTAGCAGGCAGCTTCCTGCAGGCTGCTCTTGTCCAGCTGGAGAGCTGAGAATGGCTGTAAAATTTTAAAATGTTTGAAAAATCAAAAGATTATTTTAGGATGTGTGAAAATTTTGTGATATTCGAAGTTTGTTGTTCATAAGTATGTTTTATTGGAACACAGCCATTTAGGCATTATTATTCATTTAGGCATTATCTGTGGCTACCATGACAGAGACCTTACAGCCTTCCTGACCTAAGATATGTAATATAAATACTGCTCTTTATAGAAAACATTTGCCAACCCTGCCTTAGCTTGCTGTTTCTATGTACTATTTAAGCTCAGTTCAGTTCTACCACTGATTGATTGTTTCAATTCATCCACTGAAAAGAATATTGGCATTTACATATATAGCATGTGTACAAAAAGTATATATATTATAATTATACATATCAATCAATTTTAATGGAACACACCTATGTAAACAAAACCAGGTCAAGAAGTATAACATTACTACTGTGCCTTTTCTGTTACCCTCCGCAGCCATAATTTAACCATTATGCTGACTTTTACTCCATCAGGACCGTCCTTGGCCTTGCTGAGACCTCTGTTCCATCAGTGCCTTACTTCCCTCACAGTCTGTCCTCCCCATGTGGCCTGTCCCTGTTACCTCACCAGAGTCCGTCTCTCACCAGTGCCTTACGCTCACTCTCCCTTCTGTGCCTCCTCTTGGCCAAGCCCTGTGTCTGTCGTCTGCCTGTCTGTACCGGGCATGCACTCAAGCCAGGCTGTCTGCTTTGACCCATTTCCATGGAAAGGAATCAGGAGTCTTTTAATAATAACACCTGAGGTGTGGGGAGCAATGCTACATAATTTTAGGGAAAAATCATTTGATTAGGCTTAGTTCTCCTGCCTACAGGCCAGCTATGGCATTTGGAGACATAATTCCATTATTGGCCCCTGGTCAATGATCTGCTGATGCTTTGATTCTCCAGGACAAGATTACACCAGCTGAGGGCATCCTGGGAGGAACAAAATCTTCACCTACTCAGTTCCTCATTGTTCTTGGATTGTTACACTGTGTTTATGCCGATGTACTGAACTCTCTGCAAGTCATTTGTTACATTTGTTTCTCCCAATGTACTGAATAAAAGGTGTGGTAAGGTGGGGGCTTTCTTCTTTGCTGCCCAGAGCAGCACTGATCAGACCCAAAGCTCAGCTTCTTCTCAAAGTGTCATTTTTTCTACCTTTCCTGTATAGTAAATTAATTCGCCTTGTGCTGCCGTGGCTCAAAGGAGGCTAGGACTTACTGCAGAGGTTCTAGTAATGTCCCCTTTCCCTGTTCCCTACACTGAGGTGATGTTTTTCTCTACTTAAAACCCCTCAAAAGATCTTTATGGTCCTTAGGATAAAGTTCAGGCCTTAAGGATACCTCCAGTGCTTTGTAGGTCGTGCTCTTGCTCTCTGAGCCCCCCTACTCCAGCCCCAGGGTGCCTTTTGGTTCTCTTCCTCTACTACTTTCTGCTGGGGGCAGTTAACACCTTCGGATTCCTTTTGTCTCCCAATCTTGCTCTCACCCTCAGCTAGCAGCAGAGATGGGAACTGTTAGAGGTCTTCCCCGACCTCCCGTGCCAGACTAGATGCCCTGAGTGTCATGTCTTGTAACTTTTTGGACAGCCTTCTATTGCTTAACTTGTCTCCTTGGCCATGTAAGCTGTAAGGGGGCAAGGATCTGTCTGTTTCCATGTCAGTTGCCCCCTGATGGCAGACCCTGTAATAGGTGCTTTAAGAAGAAATCAATACGACCAGATGCACAGTGGGGGCAGCCCCTGCATCTATTTGTGGTGTTCTTTTTTGTTACCAGGAATTGAACTCAGGGCCCCATGCTTGCCAGGCAGGTGCTGTGCTGCTGAGCTACATCCCCAGCCCTATTTGTGGTGTTCTTCTCACTTTTTACCCAGTGTTTACAGGAAGACAGAAATGGAGCACCATGTACACAGAGTGGTGGAGCAGAGGAATGGAACTAAAGCATGCACTTATTCCTACGGGGAGGGAATGAGGGACTCCGGAAGGGCATGTCTGGTTACAGAATCTCTTCCCCTTTGTCCCTTCTTCATGGGCCCTTGGTGCATGTCCTGGTGGAGTTAGGGGCTCCTCACAGCAGTTGCCTGCTTGGTCTCTAGATGTGAGGAGAGTTCTGGAAATGAAAAATGCCCTTGCTTGCCCTGGGGTTAGTGTGAATGGAGTAAGTCTAAGAGTGTTATTCAGAGAAAAGTCTTCCTTCCTCTTCAGCATACTACTTATACTTCAAAATAAACACACATGCAGAAAAAGAACAACCTAAAACTCATGCTTTAATCTCGTCTACCTCCAATTTTCCTGTATTCTTTCATTTGTTTATGAAGTTACGTCTTGAATTTCACTCTGCAAACTGTACCATAGGATTCCTCTGATAAAACTAAGACACAGCTGACATTTCTTTACTGCTAACATTAAAATTGAGAAAATTCTATTTTATTCTCTATTTTTCTTAAACTTCTGATCCTGTTAACTGCTTGCCTACTTTAACAATTAAACAGATGCCAGTCAAGCAACAACAGGATTGCTCAGGGCCTGACATGGATAGACGGGCAGGGATTTGGTCCTGGGTACAAATTTGTACTTGAGGTTGGATTTCATAGTTTTCTTCTGAAGTTCAGTTTTAAAAACAAATCAGTGTGTAGCTGTTAGATTTGTCTTATAGTTAGATTTGACTCATAAGTGCTAGTTTGCAACCTACATGTCTTAATAGTTTTACTATTAGAAGTACTGTTTGTACTTCTTTAACAACAAACCTGAGACTGGGTCATTTATAAGTAATAGATACTTCTTTTTCTCAATTCTGAAGGCTAAGAAGACAAGATGAAGGTGCCAGTAGGTTCATTGTGTGCTGAGAGCCTTGTTGTTGAGTCTTCATGTGGTGAAAGGCAAGAGAGAAAAGGGCTGCTCGCGTTCCTCCAGCCCTTTCACAAGACAATGATCCATTCATCCAGACAGTGCTTTCATGATTTAACCTTTCCCCAAGTCCTACCTAGTTTCAGCATCTAAACTAAGGCATGTTCAGGAGGCCGTAGCAAGTACTTTTCTTTTATTAATTTGAGTGGTTAATTTTTTCCCAGTACTTTCCTGTGATATCATGGCTTCCACAATTGGGTGTTAAATGCCAAATATCTGTAGTCTCAGCATTTAGAATAGGGTGTGGAATATAAAGATATGTCCCATGGAGGAACAAACGGTGAATAAAGGTTCTGAACTCTTATTTACAAGGGCTTCCAGCAACAGTGTTTGGCAATACATGTATGCAAATTTTCACCCAGCCAACCGCTCTGTAGGTCCTGGCAAAGAGTAGAAGTGTCAGAGGAAGTCCTCTGACACTTTCCTGCCCTTCAGACACTCCTGAGCCACTTCTTGCATGTGTGAGGGGCCATCCTCTTGCATTATCTCTTGGTGAATCACACCTTGGATGATTTATCTCTTGTGAAAATTTGGCTTCATATTTTACAGCCATGTATTGATCCTCTTTCTAAGGGAAGAAGAAAGACCAAAGTTATTACATAAGTATATTTCAATGGGGCCATCTATCTTTTGTCTATATGGACTGCTTATATTAGATCTGTGAGAAAAATATTCAGACTTTTCACTTTCTACTAACGGCTAGCACCTCAACTGGGGTCCAGAAAACCACCAATAAAATGTGCTTCAGCAGCATTTGGTTGTAATTTGTTACATTTTCAAAACACTGTGCAATTGGAAAGATTGAGAGTGTAATTACTTGATGCTCAGCTTTAGGTTTAGCTAAATTTTTTTAACGATACATTATTGAATGGAATCTCTTTTAAAGAGTTTCTTGCCAATTACCCACGTGACATTGTCCCTGAAGGGCTTCACTGGCATGTGAATAGTTTGTCAGATGGAATCCTGAGGTTTTTCAGGGCCCTGTGGAGGGCTTTTTGTAATAAATACTGGGTGGAGGAAGTTAGAAGGTGGAATAATAATGTGGTGTCAACTGTGTTGTTGGGTATCAGAAATCACATGAGGCAACATTGAGCTTACAAATGTGTTTTCACAACACTTCATCTGTCATAGAAGGGGCCCAGAAAAGCCCTGTCCTGCCCACCTCTCAGTGCCCTGAGGTAGTATGTGGGCATCTACAGATAGGTGCCCCTATTTCAGTGAGGCCTGAAGTCTGGGGTGGAACATGTGGTTTATATTCAGTGAGAGGGTTCCCTCTAAGGCCCCCTAATGCTTTCAAGATGCTGATAGAGCCATTAATGGCTCTTGGAGAAAGATTAGATTTTCAATTAAAATGAAGCCAATTTTGAATAAATAGTTGGTATTATTACTGGCCCAAAATAAACTTAAGAGTGTGCCTGGGGATGGAGCATCAGGAGTTCTGGAATGGTGGAGTCAGAAGCTTGGCAGATCCTCTCCAAAATAGCAATGATAAAACAAGGCAAAATGGTAAAAACCAACTATTTCCATTACTCTGGAAACCAACCAAAAGTATATAACAAAAATTATATGATTGAGGGCATTTATTCAAGAAAAACTATTGAAGCTTTGCTATGAATAGGAGGCATCTGTGGTGTCTCACCCTGGAGTTGCTTCCCTCACCCAGCCTGTCCCCAGCTCGTCTGTGTGGCAGTTCCCCTGGACCTCAAAAAGGCGAGGGTCTGCTCCAGTGGGGTCTGCAGTGATTGGAACAGAGTATGTACCCCAGGGTTTTGATAAAAACAGTAGTGATTTCAGTGGCAAAAATATCAGAGAAGATGACTTCTGGAATTAGCCTGAGGTTTGTAGTACTAATGGTGCTGAGCAATAGACAGACAAGCTAGAAATGTAGGGGGGCACCCAGAGAATGAGGCAAACACAGGGGCCTTGATAACCTCAGACGCACTCATGGTGGCCTGAGAGGTGTGTACAAGGCTGTG